TGGGGCTGAGCCGGGGATTTAGCTCAGTGGCACTGTCTCTGACTCGCAAGCACAAGGTCCTACGTTCCATCCCCGATACACACACAAAAAAAGTTGGTGCTAAAAACAGTATAAGCCCAGAGGCAGATGTAAGGAACAGCAGAACTTCACATGATTCAGGATTAGGTAAATGGTACAAGTGTCTGTCCTCTATCCAAGTGCCAAGAAAACCAGCAAAACACAGTTTACAGAGTAGACAATTCCAATTTGTTATACCTTAAGTTAAAAGACAACACCTCCCACTGGACAGACAGTAGGAAACACTATCTAAATGAGCAACCCTTGTTCTAGCACATCTCTGACAGACTATATTAACAGTACAATCGTATGAGGTGTTTGCCTTTTAAAATTATTGTTTAAGCCAGGTGCAGTGGTGCATGCCTATAATCTCAGCTACTCCCCAGAGGCCGAGGCAGAAGGATAGCAAGTTCAAGTCTCACTTGGGCAACTTAGTGAGATTGTCTCAAAATAAAAAAACAAAAAGGGCTAGGAATGCAGCTCAGCATTCCCTGGGTTGAGTCTGGAGCACCAAAAAAAAGTTATCTTTGTTTTTTTTTTCTAGTTATAAAATATGTCTCTTATTTTTTTAAAGTATATTAGAAATGACAAACAACATAAAAAGTCCAAGTTTCCAGTAGCACCAGCATATGAAAACGAACAGTGAGATCAGGGCATGTGATCCAGAGCCAGGCTGGCAAAGTGTTCCAGGTAGGGCTAAACAGGAACCACTTCAGAATCTGAGAGCTGGATAATCTCTGTTCAAACCACTCAACCCTGACAGTGTGTAGAAAAGCAGCCACAGATAGAACATAAAGAAATAAGCACGGTTATCTTCTAGCAAGACTATATTTACACAAATAGGCTGAGAGTGGGATGTGACCCACTGGCCTTGTTTGATGACGCCTACTCTACATTAGTTCTCTTCTGTTTACATTGATTGTGTGTGCACATGTGTGTATTCTCAAAAACATATGTATGAAAATGAAAATGGTCCAGATTTCATACACTCCTCTTCAACTTGCCTTTTTTATAACCTATCTTGAACACCTCCCATAACACCCAGAGATCTATCTCTTTCAACTACACAGATTGTGTTTGTTTAGTTAATGTTTAGCTAATAAACATTAAGTTGCCTTTGATTTTCTAGCATTATAAAGAGGCTGGCAAAAAACATTCTACAACTGCACTGTCCACTATGTGGCTACTGTACACCTGAAACAGAACTAATACATCCAAGATGCTGTAAAATATCAAATACATATTAGATTTCAAAGATTTAGTAAAGTACCTCCTCGATATTTTTATATTGACTATATAGTGAAATATTTTAGATATACAGTACTAGGTTGAATAAAATATTATTGAAATTAGTTTTACCTGTTTTTTTTTTTAATGCGGCTACTATAAAATTAAAAACTATATTCATTTTCACCAGTCTTTCTTTCTGTGGCATTGGACATTCAACTCAGGAACTTGCACATACTAGGCAAGTGCTCTGCCACTGAGCTACAGCCCCATCTCTAAGTTTTGAGACAGGGTCTCAACGAGTTGTTGCCCAGGCCTTGAACTCGTTATCCTCCCGTTTCAGCCTCCCAAGTATCTTGGGGTTACAGGCATATAGCCCGGCTCCTAGCAAGGCATTAATGAGCTTTAAGAAGTGTTGATCTGAAACTGGATTAGCTGGCCCAAATTTAAGATATTAACAGATGTAGCGCAGGCCTATAATCCCAGTACTCAGGAGGCTGAAGCAGGAGGATTGCTGTGAGTTCGAGACCAGCCTGGGCTACACAGTGAGTTCCAGGTCAGACACAACTACACAGTGAGACCCTGTCTCAAAAAAACAAAAAACAAAAAACAAAACACAAAACACAAAAACCAAACCCAACCCCCCCCCAAAAAAAAAAGATTTTAACAGATATTGCATGACTCTCCAAAATAAATGATATTCAATAGCAGTGGGTGTATAAATTTTTGCCAATATAATAGGTAAAGCTGATATATGTATTTTTAATTGATAGGTTTTTTTTTGGGGGGGGTACCAGGGATCAAACTTAGGACCTCGCACTTGCAAGGCAGATGGCTGCACCACTGAGCTAAATAAATCCCTGGCCCCAATAGGTTTTATTTTTATCAAGTTATATCAATGAAAAAATCATATGTTATCATATATTTCTATAAAACTGTTGGAAAAATGAGTACTCTCTTTTTCCACATTACCATTTCTCCTCATAGCTGACTCCTTTGCTTCTTTGTAATTTGTTACCTTTTTTGGGGGGATTTTTGAGATTGGGTCTCACTATGTAGTCCAAGCTGGCCTTGAACTTATTTGTGTAGCCTCTCCTGGCCTCAAATTCATGCCAATCCTCCTGTCTCAGCCTCTCAAGTGCTAGGATTAGGGCTAGGTGGCATGCAACACCATATCTAGCTGTACTTCCTTCTCTTTTAACACTCATTTTGATTTTTCATTTTTAGGCAGTATAATCACAATTATATCTCTTTTCATCTTCTACTACAGTGTATACAGTAAGTCTGAGAAGACAAATTCTTAGTGCCGACACGATGACAATTAAAGGCTACTCAAAATTGAATTACTGAGTGTACCATGGTTATCTTTCTTTTTGTGTACAATTTTTTTTTTTTTTTTGAGACAGGGTCTCACTATGTAGTTGAGACTGATCTGGAACTCATTATGTAGCCCAGGCTGGGGGTCTTGAACACACAGCGATCCTCCTGCCTCAGCCTCCCGAGTGCTGGGATTACAGGTGTGTGCCACCACTCCTGGCTTGTGTACAATTTTTAAAATAAGTAATTATATTTAAAATTTTATTTTTTCTTATCTGTTTATATATTAATTGTAATCCAAGAATCTCTCCAAAATCTGTCATTTCTTTATTTATTACAGTGCTAGGGATTAGAACCCAGAGCCTTACACTCTACCAATGAGCTAGACTCCCAGTCCTAGCCATTTCCATTGTTTTGTTTATTAAGTTTTTAATTTCCAAGAGCTCTTTTTTACAACAAAAAAATTTCTTAAAAAATACTATCACTGTTGCTTGTTTGCTTTGGTCTCTTTCTTAGTAAAGGCTTTCCTGAGAAGTCTGATAATAGTTGATTATGTGCTCATTTTAAAAATGGGGAACTGAACATGAGTTAGCAGTGTGAGAAGGAGGCTAGGGCCAGACACCTCTGGACTGCACTATGCTGCCATCTGGCTGGCTAACTTCAGGGGCAAAACCCTGCGAACAGTATCCTAAAATATCTTCTTTTGGGCTGGTCACATATCCCAGAGCTTACTCTTTCAATCTCTTGCCTAGAAGGTAGACACCTGGCTACCAGCTTTGCGAAACAATGATTGGGCAGAATAGGCAGTTAGCAGGCACATTCACTTAATCTCCCCCTTTCCACACAATACCTTGGTTCCAATGGTACTCTGTATCCCCCTGACCACTAGACCTTCTACTTTTCCCTCTCCAGAGAATGTATCTTTTATCTTTTCTGGAGAGGGATCTATCACTTCTTAAACAGAATTTTGATCAATTTTCTTATGAGTACAGTGCCCTCTGCTTGTTCTCTACTCAGAGAAAGCCACCTCCTGGCTATAGTGGCTTTCTTCAAGATAGCCCACCATGCTTCCTCTAAGGTGTATCTTTTTAATTTTTCTTTTTGAGACAGGATCTCACTATATAGCTCAGACTGGCCTTGAACTCACAACGTAGCCTAGGCTGGCCTCAAACTAGTAGTGATCTTCCTGTCTCAGCCTCCAAAGTGCTGGGATTATAGGTGTGCACCTGCACACCCAGCTCTAGGGTGTACTCTCATCCTGCTTTTTCCTCTTGTACTTGGCCTAAGCTTGCTATGCAGAACCAATTTCCCCCTCATGCTTCATTTTTACTTTTTCAAATAAATTTTGCCACTGCTTTAAAGCGGGGGGGTGATGCATGTGCAAGCACATGTGCTCTTTTGAGCCTTTTGGGAATTTCCCAGGATTCAATTTCTTTGGGATTCCTAAGTCATTTGATAACATTTTTGTTGCTGTTGCCTTCTCTTGTTTTCACCATTCTTAAAAAGACTTATGCTTATAAAAAGATTCCATTACCATTCTTTCAGGAGGGAGTGAAAATAGATCTAGATGTTCAATCCATCACTTTCACCTACACGTTCCTACACTGTTTTTACGGGGTCATAGGTATCTCCTAACATCCTGTGAGTAACAAGCTCTCTCAGAGACTTATTCCATATAAAAGCACATCAAGACACATAACTACATGCAAAAAGGGTAAACTAGTGTGCCTCAACTGTCAGTATCACTAAGTAGTATGAGAGAAACAGGTTAAGATTTTAAAAGTTACACATAAGGAAAGTTAAAAAGATGCAAGATGCTCTTAATACTGAACAGAGAAAAAAAGATGTTAAACCAGCTCAAATGAAATCAGAGATAATTTTCCAGAACTACACTTATTCTAGGGAGAAAAAAGAAAATAGTCCAATTTTTGGGTTCCCACTCAGAAACAAAAGAATCATACCTATCAACATTTTCAGCTTATCATGTGGAAAAGTGTGTATCATCCCAGCATGAGTTATACATGTATTCTTCTTGTCCAGAAAGTACTTACTTTATGTTTCAGGTCTTTATAATTTCAACTTGATACTAACACACTTCAATCTCGATGTGATTTTTATATTTTATCATGAATGGATCAAAGCTGTAGGATACGGTTAATATAGTATAAGAAATCATCGAGGATGTTTTTTAGTTAATGACAAGAAGTGATTATCTCAACAAGAGACATTTACCAAAGTCCACCTACACAGAAAGCCAGCACACGGATCAAAGTAAACTACTGAAGCAGCTCCCTCTTGCTGTCAGTGTCCATAGGAAAGGAACCCAAGTTTCAGAAGCAAACCAACATTCTACCTGCCAAGCTTGGAGGCTGGGAAAAGGCAGGAAAGGCAGTGAGTACCTGCACTGATCCCCCATGACGGTCTGCAGCCAAGTGAGATGTCAGGTATGAGGTACTGGTCTGCCGGCTGGGCTGGACTTCCCACTCTCCTCGGCGCTCGGACGATGCCGTCTGCTCGGGTGTTAGGAAGCATGAGAGCAAGACATGGAAGGAAAGGTGAAGCAACAGCAAGCAATGACAAACTCAAGTACATTAGTGTCCCGGTAAGCCTTGCTTTTGTTTTAGATTTTAAACTAACTACTGCTGCAAAGCACTGAGAGAAGTTAGTGTGGCTACATTCATTTCAGCCCAATGAGCCAACGTCTGATTCCATAGCACACCATCCTCACCCAGACACAGAAACACAGTAATGACCGAGGGGAGGAGTGGTAAACCAACCAAAAGCCGGAATCACCTTTCAGCTTTCACATTAGTAAAATTTCAGTGGCCACCAAGCAGATCAAATTCAGAATGTGAAGACTGTTGAAGAAAGGAAGAGTCATCTTACAAATCATTTCACTGCTCAAAGATCTACCTGAATAGATAGTAGCCAATAAAGAAAATTTCTGCATTTCAAATCGACAATATGCACTACTCTCAACTTTAATGTCCATGAGATTTTCTATTAAGATCAAAGGAACTGCACCAGTGGCTGGAATATGCTTTCTTATCTAAAAGAATGAAAAAAGCATTTGTTCAAAAGCAGGTTCATTTGTTAAGAATGGAAGAAGATGGGTGGATAAGCTTGATCGTTCTTTGGTTCTTCTAGCTACCAAACTCTAGTATGGAATTTGAAAGTTTACTAAATGACAAGACTACTATAAGTCACTTTCTTCTAGAAAACAAAAAGTAGAGCTTTCCTCAACAGAAGGAGGGCTGCCTTAATCAACCTCTTTGAGTTCTGCTTTAACCTTTGCAGTCATCAGGCTCTCTTCATTCTTTCAGATCGCACACTACTCTAATCTTGTTCATCTGTGACTTTTGTTCTGAAGACTATTTAGGTGCCTCTTCTCTGGTGCCCTATGGCTGCAGTGTTAACATGATGCTCAGCTATAACAGTCCTAAGCTTCTACAAAGATGAGAAAGAAGTAGTTGGAGAGGCAGCAACGAGGGATTAATAACTCAGATCTTAAATGCTGCTGATTTAAACAGCAGCAGGGTTTGGGGTTGCTCTACATGAAAATTAATAAGGAGGCTACAAATCTTAGAATAAATGTTGTATTGTAAAAAAAAGAAAAGGAAGAAAAAGCAATGGTTTAAGCCTCTATATTCTGCTCTCCTACAAATCTTCCCTGAAAACAGAGCTGCTTAAAGTTCATCCACAAGTCATCTACCAGACATTTCCCATAAATCAGCTACAACTTACACACTGTTCTTAAAAGGCATATGGGTCACAGCACTTTTAGGATGCTAGCCATGTTTTCTCTGATAGTCCTTGGGGAATGAGCAAATTCAATAAGGAAGCAGCTGTATTAACTACCTTGCTATGTAATCTTACAAAAGAGGGCTTTCATTTTATATTGCTAGCTGCATTAGAGAAAATCAAAACTACCTCAAATCTCCCCTTTCTCTCTTCTCCATTATTTCTACCAACTGATGTTACAATATTTCCCAAAATACGACCACAGTGTATAACAAAATCATACTACCTTATATGCTTACTGGCATTGTCTATATCCTTAGAACACTTCATCTTATTTATTCTGATTAGTAAAGACCTGAGAATAAATCTGTTCTAACACTAGAACAGATATCTATAATGGGAAAAAAATAAGAACCAAGACCTATCATGTAAAGGTACAAATTCCCAATTGTGAATGCCATCATACTGTATATCTAAAAGGTACCAATAAACAATGAATTCTTAAATATATGTAACTGTACCTACTAGTGATAGCCTTTTCAGTATTTTCTGGTACTTTTTAATATCTTCTAATATTTAAACCCAATATTTAAACTCCAATTGTATAATACTGCCAGTTCTCCAAAAATTTAAATGCTTAAAAAATCCAGACCTCTATAAGCCATTTAGTGTTTTTCTTCCTGAATTGTACAATACATACTCAATATAATTATTCCTCTTATGAATGGTCTGTTTTTACATTTGTTTTTCAACAAATTTTCAGGTATTTATAACTCTCTTTTGAAAAATTTCTAATCATTTCAGTTCTTTTTTGGGGGGTGTACCAGGGATTTGCACTTGCGAGGCAGGCAACAGAACCACTGAGCTAAATCCCCAGCCGTTACTTTTTTTTTTTTTTTTTTTTTTTT